CAGGAGAAAAAAGGTACCTCATACACGTGGTCCTTCCATTTATATCCCGTGCCATGTACATGACGTGGTAACACACATCAGAGCACAGGGGCCAATCGCGAGCACGCACCACCACACCGCAAGATGTGATGCATATTTACGAAATAAAATTACAACACACACCGATACGCGACAATACGAAATATATATTATATATATCTATATATTTCGTGTTGTCGACGACATTACATATACTTAGTGATAATCATTACAATAAAATACTATTCTAACAAACCAAGAGTTTTGATAAAAATTTAGCAATTTGAATACTAATAAAAATCATTAGATGTGTGAAACAAACAAAACAAACTTGTCAAATTCACTCTAAAGAAAATTTGAAAAAGCTACTCTTAATTTATTGAAATATTTTGAAGGCTTATTAATCTTCATTGGAAAAGACAATGATTGTGTGCTTGAAATAGAAACTCAGTTGGTTCTAGAAGTCTCTATTGAACATATAAGCAAATTGCTGAATTTGCTTGAAAAGAAACCTCTCATTGAGGAGAAAGGAACAATAAAAAAAAGTTGAGGAATCTTAATTCTGTCCCAAATAATATTACAAAGATTTACATTGTGTACATTACCTCAAATTAGCACTTTTACAAACATTTTCATCTGTTTATATCAGACATCTTCAGATATACATAACACAGAACTGAACAGACAAATTAAAATTGAATGTCCTGAGGATTATACACTGGTGTGCAAAACTTAAGCAACAATTGTTTTTTTTTTTTGCCATAACTCTGCAAGAAATTACCTGGGAGACATGAAATTCAGAATATAGAGACAATATTTTGTACTTAAAGGATGAAGAAAGCATACTAGCTCAAAAAATGAATAGAATGCCTGTGGTAGTTCGTTACGGGACAGGTATACAATTCCACGAACGAAAAGTTACAAACACAAGAAAGATACAAAATTCAATTATCACACAGAAACTTTACTTTAGGAATCCCAACTTAACAAACTTTATGCCTCTTTTATACAGAAAAAAAAAAGGAACAGGCTTGTCCTCCACTGTCGGCAGGGTTCGTACACGTGACAAAAAAAAATATAAAAAAATACTTATATAACTAACTTATATCTATCTTATAACTAATGAAAAAAATAAGAATGTAGGACAGATGAATATGGAAACAAAAGGTAGGAAGAATAGAAATACTGTACTCGGGATTTCTTTTTGTACATATATACACTGTTCGAAGTATGGCGCCTCTTTGCTATCTTTTTCCCCAAGGTCTGTTCTGCTCTTCTCGATATCGAAGAATTCTGCTCGTTCCTTGGACTCTTCGTTGTCCTCACGGCCCTTTTCTTTTATTATCGTCTTTTTCCTTTCTTGCTGGTTCAGGTCACGAGCACTCCTTTCTCGATCTGCTTTCTTCAGAGTCTCTCTCCAGAATGCTCTATTTCTGACCGGTCTTTTCCCATGGCCCCCATCTTGTTCTTATTTTCTTAGAAGAAGTAATCCTACCCCAGGGGCAAAAGGGATAGATCATAAGGTCTTAGAAGAGACAAAGAAGCAGGAAGGAAGGATAGGATTAATTCAACAAAAATATATATACAATATCATGGCCGACAGCCACACACCTACAGTATGGAGTCAAACAAAAAAAAGGCTTTATTGAAAGAGTAACGTTGTTACAAATGATTGTCTGCTTAAGAGGGAGAACAACAAACAAATGTCCTTTAGTAAGAGATATGACCTCCCTTAACTGCAATGATTGCTTGGTACCATCTCTCCATACTCAGCATCAGATTATCAAACAGTTGTTGAGGTAAGAGTGCCCATTTTTCAATGAGCATCTGTTTCAGTTGTTGGGTGTTCTCCAACAGATATAATCATGCTGAAAGGTATCTCCCCAAGGCATCCCATACATGTTCTGTGAGATTTAAGTTAGGTGAATATGCAAGCCAATCCATTCTAGTGGTATCTTCATTTTCTAGAAGCTCCTTAACACAAGTCTGATGTGTCCTGGAGTTATCGTTCTTAAAAACAAAGCCTATACCAATGGCACCTCGGAACAGATGCACATGTGGAAGGATCACTTGCTGACTTAGCAATCTCCAGTAACAGTACTTCTGTCAAAAATTTGTAGCTTAGCCCACCTGTTCACCATAATGCTTCTCCAAACGATCATCCCAGGACCACCATAATGGTTGCTTTCCATGATGTTAGTGAGTTAAAACCATATCCCTACCTCTCTCCCTACCTCTCTCCATATCAACTGGCATTGAGAATCGCTTGTGATACTGAAATGACTGTCATCTGTAAAGAAGATGTGACTCCATTGATGAGATGCCCAGTCTTTGTGTTTCTTACACCAGTCTAAATGGTGCCGCCAATGGGCAGCTGTCAATGAGATGCAATGTTCAAGAAGGCAGATGAATAGGCCACATTTATGAATGCATCTGGCCACATTAAACTGTGACACTTTTTGTCCCATTGCTGTATGCTGCTGCTGAGCAATGTTGCATGCTGACTGGTATTGATCTCTTTTCATCTGCAGAACGATATATCAGTCATCCATTGGCATTGTTTTTCTTGATGATCACCACAAACCTATTTTACAGCTGTACTTGTGGTTTGGAAGGCTTTTCAAGCTCATGAAATGACACTTTGATGAGTCCAGACTCTTGGGCTAAACTCTTCACACTACGCCCCTTCAAGCTTGCCAATCATTCTACCACATGTAAAGTCATCCAGATGGTTTCTTCTAGTCACATTTCACGTACAAACTCACTTAAACTTGCAGTAAATGTCTTTAATAGTGCCTTTTGTCCATTTTTTTATTGTAGTCTTGAACTACATGCATTTTTGTGCCCTCACATCACCTGTGATGTCTCTTTCCTGATATTTGCATATGAATCATCTTTCTATTGAATTGGGTGTTCATTGTACTAATCGCAAAAAAGCTCCTTTCTACAATTTCATGGCTGTTATGCTTAAAAATTACATTGTTGCTTGTTTTGCATATCAGTGTAAATACCAGAAGATGTCTGTTATAAACAGTCAAAAACATTTGTAAAAATGCTAATTTGATATAATATATGCTAGTTTAAGTGTTTTGTTTGCATTCAAGTAATATATTCCAGTATTGAAGAGTAATCTACAGTGTGTTTTGAAAACTTGCTTCCAATCTAAAATTTCTGATGTAAATCTATATATATATATATATAAAAATGGACGTGTGTGTCCCTATATTTCACTTTTCAGCCAAAACTACACATCGCACATGAATGGTGTTTGTATGTGGTAGTAGCCATAAGTCTCCATTCGTGCACTATGGTGATTGCGTCTCGATAGCTATAAGGGTGCGGGAGATATGGGATTGAAAGTGGAAGATTTTCTATTTTGATTTTAAAAATTTTCGAATTGGTTCGATTATAGAACGATTGTAAACGTTCCAGAAAATTGATCAAATTGAAAATAATTCGTTTGACTAAAGGTAAAAATTCTCTAATTAGTCTGGAAACAGGGGACCTAATTCTTGCATTCTGTGAAAACGGGTAAGATTGGCTATAATGTAATTATCTTAATCTTCACTATCGTTACTTTTTGCCCACAAATAAAAACCCAGTGAAGTGGGTCCTTGCAGCTAGATTCTAGATTACTTAGAAAAACAGTCTTTTATATATAAAAAAAACTATATTACATACAAATGTACGAACAAATAAAAACCCAGCAAAGCGGGTCCTTGCAGCTAGTTGTAAATAAAATTCTAGTTCTTAGCCCTAGTTGAGAATACATTTTCATGCTATAGGAAAATTTATTTATAAAATGTAGAAATTTTTTAAAATTATCATTTAATGGAATTTGGAACAAGATATTTAATACTACGACACCTTTCTCACACTTCCAGCAATAATAAGAACATTCTAAATTTAAAAAGTTTCAGTCAATATTTGATGCACAACAATTGTAACCTAAAGTAGGCCTCTGAAAGAAACCAAAAACATTTGATAGTAAACAAGCAAATATTTATTGTGACATTGTCACAATGCTGGGCTGCAATTTTTAATTTAATTAATTTAAAATACCTGCTCTCCACCACAAATTAGTATTGTCTTGCCCTGTACATCATACTTTTCCTGTTAGTAATGTAGTAATGCCAGTCATCTATTAACTCTTTTCAGGGAGAAATTTTGTAGTTGAATGATGTGACTTTTGATTTGCATTGGAAGTTTGCATATTGGGGCCTCCTGCTCTTACGCTTTCCATATCTGGTCTTGGCTTTCATCTATCTAACACTCCATTCTCAAAATTAAGGAAGGACAGACAGGCAATGACAGTGGGAATTTACAGGTTTACAATTTTTCAATTTGCAGCCCAAAAATAGTCATTGCTGGAAGTGTGAGAAAGATGTGTTGCTATTAAATGTAGAGACTCTAGCTCCAAAGAAGGTAAATGTAAATTTTTAATTTTAAGAGGCTCCAAACAATAAATACTTTAACATTTAATTTTACTTAGTTAAAAAATTTGTTTATTTCATTATTTAAATTTCTTATTTTCTTGTTAGTTATTTTTGTGTGATATTACACAGTTCAAACTATCTTTATAAAAATACAGCTTTAATTTATGAGTGTCTTTGGAAAATTAGAGTTTGATTATAATAGTTAAGTGATTTTAGGAAAACCATCATTGAGCTAATTTATAAAATCAGGGATTTACTTTAATTGCTTTACCCTTATTTTATATTTTAATGATTATATTTTACATCATTATATTTTAAAGTTATTTTTTAAATATTTTAAAATTGCAAATTATTGCTTTAAATATTTTATTAAAATGTATTATAAATTTTAATGGACCAGACTTTTATCAATTTGATTTAATTCAAGATTTTATTTCCATTGAATTTTACTGAAATAATTAAATTTTTAAATTTCATAATCAAGAATAATTTATTCAGTTTTAAAAAATATATATATATATATATTTTTTGGATTGAAATTATTAGACGGTGCAATAGAAGACGGAGAAGATTGTCTATCAGACCAATCCTCAAATGGTACGGCTAATCCGTATAATCGACGAAGATAGAAATCAGTTCCTGAATAGAATTTGGATCCGTCTGGTAAATCTCCTCAAGTCACAAAACCTTTGAGGAGACATTCTGTACTAGAACAGGATGTACACTAGTCAACATTTACTGTCAAATGCTCATATTTTGGTTCAAGTCCATTGCTAATACTAATAATAATAATAATTATAATTATAATAATAATTATAATATATATATACATACATATATATATGCCAAGTTGTATACTGAGACACACTGCTGCTCAGTCTGGTAATTTTAATTTCTTTAAATTATATAATTTTCAGTATGTTTTTGAAGTCTGTATCAGCTTAGTCATGGAATTTTATTTTTTCAAAATTCTGTTAAAGTGATTTAGAAATATTTTTTATAATTAAGTTTTTATTTTATTATTTTTTGGTATATATTGTGGATTTTAATTCCCTGAATTGTGTTATGCCATCCTTAAAATTTATGCTGAATGATATTATACAAAATACAGTACATTGTTTTTGAAGAATTTTTAACTTAGTCTATTGATAAGAAACATTTTGATTTTGCTGCTCTGTTAAAGACAAAATAAATAAATGTAGGTCATTATTTTTTCTAAATAATCCAGATTCACTTCAGTTAAAAGCATATTTATAATCAAAGTTAAGTCAAAATTATTTATCCAAACTTCGCATCTTTCATATGAAATTTAGTATTTTTTAAATAATCAAAAGTAATAAAATAGTGCAATATCCAATTCCTAATTGTTTATATCTCCATAATAGTTAGCTCTAAAGAAATAAAATTAATTTGTTTTTAATAATATAAACTATATTCTCTTCAAACTCTTTTCATAATTGTGCAATTGTGTAATTAAAATCAATCATTATATGTAAATAGAAAGCATAAAAAGTATTTCAGTACCACAAAACTTTTTAAAAGAGGAACTAGTTTTATTTTGCAGAAGTAAAAATATAAGAGTACACTTTACTTGAAATAAGCATCATCTTTTATGTAAATAGTACATTAGTTCATCATTATATTTTCTTAAATGTGAAACATCATAAATTCATTCTTAACATTGCATTAACTTGTTGAATGAAATTTTTCATGCAAAATTTAATACTATAATTAAAATACATTATTACAGACACATTCCATTCTACAATACATAATTTTTTCCAGATGTAAAAAGTTTTATATGTTTAGTGAAGTATATTTATTAATTAAGTAATATTGTTGTTGGCAGACTGGGCAGTGGATGTTGTATTTTGAGACATCATACAATCTTCAAAGTAAGGCGTGTTTAAATGCATTTACATTGTTGTCGTTTATTTATTTATTTATTTATTTATTCTTTTTGAAAGTGTTCAAAGCACTTGTATATATAGTGGTATTAATTTGCTCGGTTCTTATTTTAAATTTATGTAATCTCTACACACACAACATAATGGCTGCATTAACAATTCTATAAAATTAAACAAGTTACTTTTACTCTTTTAAAATATTTGTGTAGAATATCGTAAAAGATGATACGACAATAAATTGTTGAAAAAAGTCATCATTGCTTATGTGATTATATTAGATTTAATTTGAAAAAAAAAAACTCAGTTGTTATATAATAAATTGTAAATATATGTTTAAATTAAGGAATTTTAAATAGTGCAATAGAAAGTCTAATGAAATGTTTTACAAAAATGTAAAAGTAATACTGATACAATTTATATCAAAAATAAACAAACATTATTTTGCATGAAATTATTTTAAAATTTAATAAAGATTAAGTTGCTAAACATATATAAAATATATAATGATGAAGTGTAGTTGTGTTACATATACTGTCTGAAAGAAGTACAGAACATTGTGATAACAGCAAAATTAACAGGTTCATTTTACATAAAACTAACTGTCAGACAAAGATGAAAAAGAAATTTTATGGTAGAGTTACGTGACAGAGTAACTCTAGACCAGAGGTCGCAAATTGGTGGCCCACGGGCCAGATACGATTTGTTAAGGCTTCATAACCGGCCTGCATCTTCAATGAATTCTTTTCTAAAAATCAATGTTTTCTAACATTTTGCCGTGATCAAAACAGAAAATATTCAAACATCTAATTGTTTACATAAATTGTAAAGGCCTGGCAACAAAAGGTTTTTTGTTAGAGCCTTTTTTTAATTACAGTATATTTTGGTTTACTGAATAATAATAAATATAGCTGGCATCTAATATAATGTATCTGACTTGCCCTTTGCTGCGTTTGAGTTTGAGACACCTGCTCTAAATAAACATGTAGAATATGTACACTCTAATATGATGATTTTTTTTTACTATGATAAAATATAGGTTTGAAGATTTTTTTAGTGATGTTTGATAAAATATATTATTTGAGTTGATTAAACCAAATTAATGATACTGAATTTGTTATAAAATTAATCCAATATTATACCGTATTTACTCGGATAAAAGACAATCTCGCATATAGGACGAGGTGTGACTTTAAAGATTAAAATAAAGAAAATTAGATTTATTAATACAATTCTAATTTTATTTTGTTTAATCAAAAATAAAATATCAAATGCATGTAAATGCACACATTGTCCTGCAAAAATTACTGGCATTTTAAACTTTAAAGAAAAAATCTTGTAAAATCAACAACATAATTTGTTCATGTAAAGCTGGACAATTATTGGGAACCTTTTTTGCCAATTCTTAACAGTCGAATTCACTTTTCGTCGATTACACTTACGAGTTTCTCCGAATTCTGATTTCCAAATAATCATCTGTTTTCATGTGGGAATGAATTAAAACTTATTTTGGGCTCTCGTGTAATTTTGGAATTTGATTCAAAAGCTTTGTTTTTCCTATTGCTATTCATCTTTACTCCTAATAATACACAAGAATGATTCAAATGACCCAGATAAAATACTTTTGTTTTTAAACACCAGAAGGTGAGAATCCGGTAAAAAATGCAAATACACAGTCTACAAAAATTATTGCAAAAATGAAATGAATGACCTAGGTTATTGAAGCGGTGAAAAATTAATAAAAAACCTTGTCTTATATGCAAGTAAATATAGTAATATTCTCAAACTGTGATTTGCATTTTGTTGATTTTTGCTTTTAAGAATTCCAAAATTAATAATTATTTTACTGAATTACTGTATGAAAATTTTATTTCTATACGTATATAGCAGACATAAGCAAATGTGGCTCTTGCTGAAAGTGTTAATTTCTACTTTTTATTATTATTTTTACAATTTTATTTCCACAATTTTGTGAAAATATATTTATTAAAAAAATTCAATATTTGTTTTATATTATATTTATATTATATAATAAAATTGCGGTACAGAACTGCAGTACAGAATTAAAAAATTCTGAACTGGGCTCCCATGCATTTTGCAAAACCTACATTTCAGCTCCCACTGAACTCTTGCTTGCCACCCCTGGTATATAGAAATGGTTTATTTAAACAGTTTTTAATGATAGAATAATCATTGTGGTAATGATGAGAGGATGATATGTGAAAATGTTTTAGAATAAATATTTTTACTAGATTCAAAATGTCAGTATAATTATTTGCTTAATGTTCATATAAACAACCTCTGTTTAGTAATAAAATATAGAACAATGTTTGTAAATAGTTGCTTATGTTATCATTAAATAGGAATATTTTCATCTTTTAATTACTATCCAGTATTAATAGTTTTAATGGATTTATTCATCTTAATAACCTTAAATTCAGAATATTTGGTTTCCTATTACATACAATATTGCATATAATTAAAAAGTGCTATAATAGATGTTAATTTAATGAGGTAGATTTTTATTATAATTATCAGTATTTAAAATCAAACCAAGTTTATGACAGCAGTAAAAATCCTAAACTGAAATTAGTTATTGTTAACTACAAAATGTTTTTTTTATACCAGTCAAAAATATTTAATGTATTTTTCTTATATTACCAAATTCGGTGATATTTTGCAGTGTTATATATATTAAAACTTTGAAATATCTTTTAAATCTGTTTAAATCTCATTAAAATATAATTTGTAAGTTACTTTTCACTTAGAAAATATTAAAGAAATAGTAAGACAGAATAGCATATATGTAATTATTCTTAAGCTTTTGTGCCCTTATTATACAATTTTTATTTATTTTATAATATTTTATATTATTTAAATGTCCTAGTAGACATTTAAATAATAAAATAGCATATATGTACTTTAAGCAAAATTGGATATGGACATGCTGTGTTAAATACACATAAATTAGGATATAGTTATTACTTTAAAATCATAATTAAAATTATGTAAATAACAAAATAATTATTTTGTATATTTTGCTTTCAGAATTGATAATTTTTATTAAATTGAAACTAGAACATATAAAATTTTTTTTTTTAAGCTACTTATTGTATTCAAAATTTTTTTCATTATTTAACTAAATAATACAAGATTTATAATCACACATCTTTGCAGAACATAAGAATTAATAAATTTTAAACAATTTTACTTGTTAAAAGTAAAATTGTTTTAAAAAGGTTAGATTAAAATGACCTATATTGTTGTGAAAACACAAAATTTATTTTTTTCGCTAGAAAAGGTTAATAGTTGATACATCCAATAGCATAATTTTTTCATAAAGTACTGTACTTAGATGTAGCTAATATGCTGGCTTGCAATACAGTCGACCCCCCTATAAGATAGAGATACGTTCCATTCTATAGGAATCCGATTTCTTACGAATCCTTCCAATCACAACCCGACACGTGTGAAGTTTACGGACTACGGCTGTTTGAAAGATTATCTTCCATAAAATTAATCGATTCTAGACTAATACGACTCAACATTTCCAAAATACGTATATTTTTTTTGGAAATAATCCGTATAAACTACGCTATAAATAAAAAATTGTAGGATTACTTACCGAGTGTCACCATTCGACATCGCCATTGCTCAACATTGTTTTCGTCGCGGAACAGCTCAGCAAACAGCGGCCGATTTCTAATAACTTATTTTTCTGCGAATAGTTCCTTGAACTTCGGAGACATCATTAATATAAATAATTTTAATCGCCGTTGAATAAGAAATGTTTCTTTCACAAGAAATGTATAAAATTACAGTACTGTATTAGACTTACGGTACCTAATTTACATACTGTACAGACGATAGTTAGCGTAAAAATCTCCGTAGCGTGGCGCCACGCTAGACGGCGGAAATTATATATTTAATTATAACAAAGTTACAATAAGT